GCTTAAACCGATTGGTATGTAGCGTTGTGAAATAGATAAAACATTTTCGATCGTCCTCCCGTCACCCGTCTCCCTGTATTGTCGATACGAGGCTGGATTTATGGGGGAGTGCGAGGTGCCCGAGCTCAAAGGATCCCACAAAATTTAATTTATGAAGTACCCCCCACGAAGTAAATACTACCGTTATTTACCAGCAAGATTCTTCGCAAATGTATACACCTACAAATTTTAATTTTAATTTTTTTTTACATTCTAAACGAAACGATTGCCGTTCAATATAAGCGTTGTACTTAGAGGTTAATTTTATTATTTTAATCTTTTTTAAACAATTATTGTTGTCATGGAAACGCACAATGTTATAATCATTTTACCATAATATGACATAATACCATATATTGCGTTGTTGACAAAGCAACATTATCAACTGAACTCTGCTCAGAATCGATTTTCATTAGCAATGGTTTATCGTATGCATCGTTAAGCATTTACATCTGTAAATTAATTTGTAAAATAATTGAATTTCCGTCTGTATCCTACCTTCCCAACTTCCCACCTACAACAGTTTATCGAAGCGAAGTATGTCCGTCCTGTTTTTTATTTTAACTTAGTATTATATTTACCTTTATCTGGGGGCAAAAGGATAATTTAATTGAATTTTAATTTAGAATTGCCATCTGAGCACTCAAACTACGATAAGATAAAGTAATCAGTTATTGTTAAAAAGAGTTTTATTCTATATTTGTTAACAATTAATGTATTCTATGTCTACAGAATTGGCGCGTAACAGATAATACTCGGGAAAACAAATTTGAAATTTTAAGGGAGAGGGGCCAGCACCCCATTCTGCTCCCCTGGGGACGCTTATGGCTCCGATCCGACCCCAATTATCAATAAAAGACGAGTAGGATTTATTATTTTTATTTTTCACGATAAACTGCTGCAATGTATTCGATTTCCGTATTGTATTGGAATTATTTTTAGAGTTTCACGACAGCACGGAATGAGATGTTTTAGAAATCTATGATTTTTTTTTTTGATTTTTTGTTACTGTCTGTTTTTGCGATTACTTCTTTGACCAATAAAAGTCATCCGAAACTTGCGCATCTTCCGTTATAGAAAACTAAATGATTGCACTGTCATTATTGCAGTCGTATGCCATAAGTATTAGATAGGTAGGTTGATAGACAGGTAAGTAGGCATTATTTGAAATACGCGTTTTCCAAACATTCCCGACAAATCAACGGTAAAACTTAAAATTAATGTACACGAAAACATGAGGTTAATTATATCGTGTTTATAATGATGTTATTATTACACGAGTATTATATCTATTTTTTATAGCACCCAAATCCAACAAAAAATTAAGGAGTGTGCATGTGAGTTGTTTTTTTTTTATTTTATTTGAAAACGTGTTTTACAAGAAAAACACGCATGCCTTGCAGATTGAACTGATTTCGATTATCTTTTAACTATTGGAAAGAGAAGTACTTCTTTCACATTGGACTTGGATTTTAAAAATTATGTTTCTATATTTTTACCATTTTTCAAACTTTTATTTTGGTTTTTGATCAAATCGAGTTTTGTTTATCTAATCGTTACTTTAAAAAATCGGAATCCTTTCCAACAAAAAAACGAACAAACGATCTAAATCGGATCATCGTACAAGGCATCGGCGTTGTTTGCCGTTGAGCACGTCTTGACCAAAAAATGGATCGTGTGCGATTTCATTTAATATAGAAAAAATAACAATAAAAAAACAAAACCGATTGAATTATTTGATATCAGTCGGACTGATTATATACTGTGTTTCCGGGGAAATTTCCTTAGATTTTATACTTCGAGAATTTACCCATTCACTATATAATAGTACAGTTAGACTTCCGAGTACCCGTATATTTATGTGTAGTTATAGCGTAGAGAAATATTTTCGTTAAACCTCGACCTTCACCATAGTTAATATTTTTTGTGTAAATTTATATCTCTGGCTAGGTATCGTATACTATACAGGTATATTACAAAGAATCCGCGGCGTTTCTAATGATACGTTTCTGTATTATTATGCATAGCATTGCCCACAAATAATATTAAAACGCACAGATAACAAACCAGTTTTTTTTTATGTTTTCTATAGATTTAAACACTTAAAAATACATTATCCGCGATGTTCCGTACACGTGTACCCAGTCACTGACTAGCAGCATCTCTATAATATATTATAGCATTTCGGTTCCCTTATTTTATTACACTAATAATATAGTTGAACATATTATTTAAAATATTACTTGTACGGTAGGTAAGTAATGGATATTTGCATTAGGTGTGTCAAAATGTTAAAAAAAAAAAAAAAGAAAGTTACCGGTAAATTTTCTCACAGAGTCGTCGACAAAAGTGTGTTATTGAAACATACAATATAAGTGTATACAGCTTTACGGTAAATATACGTAATTGGCATTCCGCTGAGTTATTTTTTGGTTCTTAAAGAAAAAAAAATGTAAAACTCGGCATGGTATAGACAACTATTATCGGTGAGTAATGATATTATGGGTGTATGTAAAAAGAAGATCAATATTCGACGATACTGAAATAAAATATTATCTATATACAGACTCTGCAAACTTGTGTAGAGTATTTAAGTAAAAAAAATAATATTCGAATACTTATTTTTAGCGAAATGTAAGTATTTTAAATATTTTTATACATTTTGAAAATCGTTTGCATTAGGAGTGCGTATCGCATTACACACCATTTAAGTCAAATTAACTGGACGTTTTAATTTTATACCGGTCCTTTTCAGCCAGAACCCAATGTGTTCGTATTCGTATGTTTTAAAACGAATATCGCGATTACGTATTCTATAAATACATTTTAGAATTCTAAAACATTTTTAATAATTATCCTTAACTACGTCCGTGCAGTATGCTCGAGACAAACTATATGCTGCTAATGAGCCCCTTGCAAGAATAATACGGATTGCCATTGTTGAACCCTAATTTTTTTCGTCTTAACTTCTTCGTCTTGTTGCGTTATTTTTTATTATTATTCACTGCCCTTATTTGTGATTGTAACCATTGAACTACCAGCCCGTACTTTCGATAGAAACAATGTATTATTTATGTATAAACTCAAAAAAAACAAGTATCTTTACAAGTCTGCGACAAATTCATATAAACCTCTCCTAAAACGGACTCCTGCGAATAGTGGACGGTTTTTTGGGAGGAAACTTTTGGGAAATTTTCACTAATTTTCAATGGTGAAACAACGACATCAAAACACGCTCACGCTATTAAAACGATAACAAATTCGTTCATTAACACCGTCATCGGACGTGAAGATAAGGTTACGATGAATAACGACAATTATGATGAACACATCAATGCCTTGACCCCAATGCTTTGGGCATTTATTTCAGTTGCGATTTTCGACACGACGAGTTCGTTAAAACGTAAACGGTCGTCGATTACAAAAAATTGTAATTTTAGACTTCCGTCAAAATAATTTTTTATCGTTATTATTTTACACAATACAGATGTATACATACACACTATGTATTAAAATTATGATATTGTTAAAACTTTAAATAGATACATAATAACATTATACGAGTACATAACCGAATTTGACCTGGCACATACATATTACTCCTTATACCTTTTATGAAATTCAAAAATGTACCCACTCTGAATAGCTGACACTTTCGATTAGTGTATTAAATTCCGGTGACCGAAAGTGTCCGTTATTCAAAGGTTTCACTGTATAGGTAATGGTCTCACCAAATATCACCGGTACGTTTACATCAAACAATTTATGATGCACGCGTGAAAGCGAATTGGATTTTGTTCTCCGCCGAAAATTAATTGAAAAATGAGATCGCGAAGTAGGCAATAGTAATAATAATACGACATTTGTATTCGTCGTTTGATTTCGCGTTGTGAAATAAAACTCAAACTTTTAAAAATGAAAAATGCCCCGGCATTGGCTAAGCATGTTATACCTTTGTATATACAATATATATATACACAGTAAAGAGAGCAACGATAGTTACTTTAAAAACGGTTTGCAGTCGTACCGAATTTCCAATAGGGCTATATATAACTGAAAAACAAAAAAAAAAAAACTTCTTGTCGTTTGGACATGATTTATAACTTATAGCGCGTACCTATAAGTTATAGTCGATGATATTTCGTTTCTAATAAACGCGTGTACCAGCACGCGTGGAAAAATTGTAAATAACGGAAAACAAGTCCATTTCTATATACTATATGCGATTTAATGAATTTCTCTGATAATATGAATGCGGATTTATTTCGTTAGCCGTGTGACACCGTTCGTATCGATTATTAGAACCTTAAACTGTTATACACTGCTGCGTGTGAATGGACGGCAATACGTTTCGTGTCCACGATTTCCTTCGATAACCACGCGATTCCGGACGGCATTATTGTATTTATAGTCGATATTGTCGAGAAATAAAATTCTGAAAAAATTTTTCGTCGCCTACAATCCGTATCCGTAAGTACAGAACGAATACGGTTTTCAAACTTTAATAAGTGTTCAACGTGATTATGATAATATTATGGTACATATACTGGGGCGGACTGCTACTAGAGAAGTGTCCCGGCGCCAAAATCCACTATTCTAAGTTTACAAGTATCCAGAGGCGGACCTAGGGGAGGATTTGGGAGGTCGGGCTGGCCCACGGTTTTTTTTTTTTTCAGTAAAATGTGGCCCCTCAAAATGACAAACTAAAAAGCATAATTATAATTTGAAAAAAATATGCGCAATACTACAATAGTTAATAATAAAATAATATTAAATAATAGTAATTAATTAAATGTATACCGGCTGAAGAGTGTTTCTATATAAATATAATTATAGTACTGAAGTATAAATGGCGCATAGGAATATCCGTGTGGCCAGCCAATATTAACTTAAATATGTATACAGAAAAACACTGAATAAAACTTAAATCTTAAAATTATAAAAATGATATACTTAAATGTATGGCTGATGAAACATTGCATACGATATTAAATGAAGTAAAACAAGCAAAATATTTTACAATTATTGTAGACTCGACAGTAGATATCGGAAGAATTGATCAATTTTCATTTAGCCTGAGATTTGTAAATGAACATGGAGACATCAAAGAAAATTGTCTCTGTTTTGAAGAACTACCTAATGCAATTGCAAATGATTACTTTACTATCATAAAAAATGTAATGGAAAAATATAAATTGGATATTTCTATATGCCGTGGCCAAGACTATAATGGCGATAATACCATGCGTGGACGGTTTTCTGGCTTACAATCAAAAATTAAAGATATAACGCCATTAGCACTATATATTCATTGTTGTGCTCACGATTTAAATTTGGTGCTTATAGATGCTATGATATCGTCTATTAATGGAGTTTTATTCCTTGGTACTATATTGAGGCATTTTATATATTCATAACAAGTAGTTTACCGAGTCTAAAAATATTTGAAAAATAACAAGAGAAAATCGATGGCCTAGTACTAACATTAAAACAACTTTCAAAAACAAGATGGGCCACTCACAAACGTGCAGTAGACTCAGTTTACATAAACTTGCTAGCCAGCAATTGTTATCTCATTGAAGCGAATTTCAGATGGAGAAAGTCTCAATACAAAATTAAAATCCATTTCAGAAGCACAAGGATTACTTTTTCAAATAATGAATTTTAAATTTAGTTTTTTATTAGTTTTGCGGAAGAATATACTTGGAAAAGTTAATATTCTTTCAAACTATTTACGAAGTTCGAGAGTTGATTTAATTATAGATATATTGAATGTTTGTATTAAAATGTGATATAAATTAAGAAAATTACCAGCGCATTGAGTGACTTAATAATACATATTTGGTTTCTACATAGTGTCATCTCGTGAGTGAGACAGACACACGGTAATAAAATCCTGGGTACGTCACTGAAAGTGACCAATAAATAGATTTGGGATCGTATTTTTATTTTCGTCAATTTAAAATTGATTATTTCAATGTTGCACGATACAGGCACATACGAACATATTATTATGAAATTTAAAATGAAATAAAAAATTTATGAAATTAAATTTGTTCGTCGATTTCAACACAGATTATATTAGTATTAACGATATACTAGAAATCCGGGTTTGAATTTTCTAAATAAATCTAAAGTACGAAGTTAATATTTTCCCTTAAAAATTACAAACAGAGTTTTTTGTTAAGAAAAAATAATACAAAACAAATAATAATAATAAGTTAATGAGTCCAAAAAAATGTTTGCTGATCAGGTTACGTAGGTACATTAAAATTAATTACAATAATTTATAATTTCAGTAAATTATCATTTGTTTCTCACTACTTAAAAAAATACTTAGGGTTGGACTAACGCTTATCGAGGAATATATTTATTTTATTCTGCCCCAGAATCGTTTTTCGGTTGCAATAATTTATCGTTACATGTATATGTAAATAGAATAAATTACTCTATATATTGTTGTTCTTTCCAACTTGTCGTCCAAAAACTGCTGTGACACAACCATCAGTACTATGGGTAGGTTTTTTTTCCTAATAAAACAAAAATCGCATTCTTTTATGGGTAAGCATCAAAATAGAAGAAACAAAATCCAATTACGATTTGAATGTAACCACGGCGTATGCAACGGACGACTCGCCCATTGTTCGCGTACAAGCGTCATCGTGATATTTTTAATATAATTAACGAGAGAAGGAACGGCAGCGTTCAAAAGGCCGGGGATTAAAGAAGGCTGAATCCTTCCGATGGTCAAAAAAAAAAATTGTCATTCTTTGTTTTACCTTCCCGTATTGCACAGCCAAATAAAAAATAAAATGATATAAAAAATACAACTCCCGACCAATAGAAATATTCTTTGTCTACGATAGTCCTGATGTGCATATAGAATTACGTTATTATACGGTTTTGATTAGAGATTGTTTAATTCGCATAACTATTTGCCGCAAGAGACAAAAATGTATTATTTATAATCTCGTAAAAATATTGTACAATATTAATAAACTAGGTACGTAGGACGGAAAATAAGACATTTTCCGTTGTTTTAGAATGTATACATTACGGTTAATGTAGACAATTGGATAATGTCGACTTTCCGTTCAGTAAAACCGATTTTGTGCCGTTAGTTTTAATACGGAAAAAAAAAATCAAATTTAAATGCGCAAATTGTGTGCTCTAAAACGCATAATTTCAGATTGAGCGAGTGTAAACCGCGGGGCAGATTTAACATTAAAATAATAATAAAACTATTATCTATATTATTTACCGTGCTCTAACCGATTACGGCGCCCACTCAAAATGCGACGACTGGAGCCAATGCTTCCACCGGCCCTCCCCTGGATCGTCTTTGGCAAATTCACTTTTATAATATTGTATTGAAAACAACAGCGCAAAATCGGTTCTATACTGGACGAAAAGTCGACATTATACAATTTTCAACGTTGCCCATAACCTTATGAACACAATGCATTACAACGTTCAGTGGGTAGTTTGCGATACACATTAAATATATACATAACATATGCGTATAGGAATTAGGATATATGATAAAACATATGATAATCATATACGTGGTACATATACCTAATACGTATATGTTTTATAAAGTCGACGTTTAACATTGATAGTTTACGTATCGATCATATTTTATTTGTATTCGTTTGTTTGTTTTCGAAAAATAAACGTGTGTTTTTTTTTTACCGTATTTATATTGTAATTTAAAATTTAACTAAAAGAACATGTCGCGCGTGGTCGGCATGAACACACGACGTACGTCATGACGGATTTACGTTTCGGAATATTATTTCGGTTTTCGTAAATACAGTGAGTGCCACTTAATGTGATCACATCGATATAATTTTTTATTTTTTTAACGGTTCTATATTTATACGCATGCTTAAAATGAAATTAAAATATTAATCAAATAAATATATTTAAAATAAAGTTAATAAACTATCTATTTTTTGATCGGACTGGAGATTCTACCAATTACATTTTCATATTAGCCTGAAATTAAAATCCATATTTAATAAATATACGTATAATTTTTAATTATTTAAAACGTAATTATGTACAGGTACATCATTGTACCTGTAACTTTTGAAACGACTGCAAATTACCGTTGTCTCCGTAATTGTGAACAGCTCCTTTTAACTTTTCCAAAACAATTTTTGTTTCTTTTTGAGTGATTTCCACCTTGGTCTCCTCGTCGTTTTTGTCATCATCATCAATATTTTCTTTTTGATTTTTTGTTCAGTTATTTCTTATTTTATTTAATCAGCTATTTCTGTAACAGACAACAATCCAAAATTAGGTAAACCTTGATCAAACGAAATTCAATATTCAAAGTTTGTTTCTAAGTCTAAGATCATTCTAGGTATTCAACAATTTCCGTATGATAATTTAAAATTCTGTTTAACGTACACATAGAACATTTCTCTAATTTATTAAAACGAACGAGTAAATCTTTTGTTTTCTCCTATCGATAAATCTTTACGTTTACTCAACGTTTAAATAAATTGTTTGATCACGAATTACGAACTAAACGACACGAATACACGACGCACAAAGATAACTAAATGACGTATGACGATACACTGTGGCACATTGATAAGTTCAAAAATAAAATTTACATATAAATTAATCAGTTTGAAATACCATAAAAACGATAAGAATGTTCATAAAAGTGATTCGATTATCCGGTAATTGGTGATTTTTAATAAAAAGGTGATTAATCATCAGTAACATAAGATTTGGTTTGGGATTTTCATTTTCGATTCCAATAAACGGTCGACTCTATAAACCAGAGATCACATTAGGTAGCAGAATTCACTGTAATATTTGTCGATTCCGTGGCGTAAATTTCATTAAAAATTATTATTGCACGTATACAAACTCATATTGCTCACATAAGACGGGCGGTTTTTTTTTTCTTTGGTACTAAATATTGTAGTTTCCGTCAGATATTCTAACCGCGGTTTTAGTCTCACTTACGGTGGTAAAAAATAAACATATAGAGAACAAAAAAAAAAAAACTCCAAGCCTCGGGGGGTTTTTTTTTTAATATTATTATTATTATTATACTTATAATAATAATAATAATCTTGACGCGATTCTGCTGAAAAAAAAAAAAATACAAAATTTATATGGCGGGATGTCAAATATTTCATTCTTAACGTCTCGCCGAGTTAGTTTTTCTTGCAGAGTATTCGTTTAAGGGAAAAAAAAACCTTGACTCGTAAGAATGAGAACGTATATACATAAATACTTAATAATAATATAATATAGGCACATATTACACCCTGTATTATTATAATATCACCCTTTAGTTACTGCTGCGTTTTCTATATAATTTCACTTTGTACTGGTAATAAGCGTGACTATTCACATAATTTTTTAGCTAGAAATACTTTGTTAACGCGTTTGATAAATTTTTAAATTAATAAAATTCGTGTTATTTATAATACCTGAGAAATATGTAGGTTTTTTTTTTAAGTTTTAATTAATTATAGACACTGCAACTTTTTTTTATATCAACGACAGTTTTTTTACACAATGCCAACGTACGATAACAGTGACATGAGCGCAATTTTATAAATACCCTTTTTATTACGTTAATTTTCAAAAATTTTAACAATTTATGTAAAACACTCGCGGCTGAATGTTAAAATATTAAAATACGTTTTTTTTTTGTTCGTATTTAACGTATTTTAAAATTGAATTGTTTCGAAAATAACATTTTATAAATTTTCTAAGAATTTGTGATACGATTTCTTCAAAATGTATTTTAAGAACTCAATAACTGGTTATAATAATGCAGTCTACCCACAGTTAAAACTTAAAGTCAACCAAATAATAGCTATCATAATTAAATAATATATTTATACGTAACGTCTAGAACCAATCAATTGGTTAAAAATATTTAATTTAAATTATAAATATCCACGAATAAGTCTTCAAGTGTCTATTTGCGATTTGTTGGCTGTTGATATCTTTCGTGACGTATCAAGTTTATGCATAAAAAAAAAAATTAAGTATTTTTATTAAGACCGCGGTCAAATCACGTCTTTTAAATTCACCCGAACAATATGCGATTTAGGGATATTCGGCCAATTGCCCGAATGAAACCACGCTTTTCAACTTTTGATATTGCAGTTATTCTTCGTTATTGCTATTATAAAACTCTCATTTCATCAGTCTGCGTTCTTGTGTGTCATCTACAGGCCATAATATTGCAACACACTTTTCTCGTATAACTATTATTCTTTTTTATTTTCCAGTGCCCGTCGAACAAGTGGCCGTGCCCGTTGGCGGCAGAGCGTATTTGCCCTGCGACACCCGGTCTCCGGGCCATCAAGAACCGGGATTTTCCATGGTCATGTGGTTCGTAGAGCAAAAGGGAAACAATAATCCGGACGGAGGTTACGTGCGTCCGGCCTCGCCAGTGACAGCCGGCGAACCCATATTCACGTGAGTATTTTTTTTTCTCTCAAATTTGTATAGACGCGACGATTATGTAAGAAAAAAAAAAAAAAAAACGTGTCTTTGGACATAAATATCATACAAGTTTCGAACAGCTTACAATAATGCATGTCATATGGACTGTTTTGTGAAAAACGCGATGTCAAATTCTTCGGTTTGTACGCCGAACGATTGTATATAGGAAATTCGGCACCACGTTTTACGGTTTTAGAGCTCACGGAAATAAAGTTTTGTCGTGAACAATTTAACGAATCAATAACCATTTAAACAATCATATACTTCTTCGTAAGATGGCAAATATTAAAATTAGTTCTTTTACCTATCATAGGCCTTTCTGTCCGTGATATAAATTATGTATATACCTAATAAGTTAACAAAAACTCACTTAAATAACTTTTTATAAAAACAAAAAGTTACAATAACGATTAATCGTAAAATTGATAAAATAAAAGAATCATGGTTAAGGACGTATTTTATCGTCTTCTGAAAAATTTGAATTTTGTTCACATCGTCGTCGCATATACTAAAACTGCACGTATCTCAAAAAAGTGATAAAATTTCGTTTATTATCGATAGTCTTATATTTGTACGTAAATAAAACAAGTGTTTCAGAAAACGTTTTGTTCTATACAATTTTTATTCGTTAGTTTCGTGGTTATACACTGATGTAAATCGCGAAAACGATAACACTTGCATTTGTATCAAAATCTTATATCAACATAAAAAAAAAAAAGTATCTAAGCCCGTAAGATAGCTCAACAACATACACGACAATCCAATTGATATAAGTGTTATTTTCTTGAAAAGTTTTTTTGATCGTCCCGTAAAACCGCAGACACCGAGATTCGTTTGGCTGTTGGCAGTGTAAGCGACGGTATCATTATCGTCTTCTTTTTTTTTTTTTTTTCCACAAAAAACCGTCGATTTTCATACCCGAGTAATATTGTTATTATTATTAGGTATTACAGTTTATACGACTACCATATTTTTTTATATTTTTTTCCGCCCGTGATTATTATTATACCGCCTAATAAAATGTATAATATCGTATAATATTATTATAATATGATAATCACGCAACGCGCGTGTATAATGGTCGGGAATTCAGAATACGGCGGGCGTTTATAATACTCCATATTACTATAAAGTATAGGCCACTTCATCAAATAACACATGTTAGAGGCGTGTTGTCTATTTAAATATACTCGTATAATATTTCGAAAGCGATGATTAATGACGGCGGCGGCGGCGCTGCACAAAACCGAACGTAAAGCTTATTATAATAATACGCTGCCCGGATTCGAACGACCGTACTTTGTACGTAAAAAAAAAAAAAAAAAATCGTCTAATAATATATACTATCAAGAAGAAAAAAAAACTATTTAAATTCACAATTGTCGAGATTTTATCTAATAAACCGCGAGAGATTCCTACCCGGCCGAATAACTGTCACGAGATGCCAGGATAGACATACGGGTACACAATAAAAAAAAAAAAATAAGGTAGGAATTCGATACATTCTACCGAATAGTCACTTTCGAACTGTTCGGAAATGTTGACTCTACCAAACTATTGGATAGTCATAATCTGATTCGGTTATTCGGTTTAAAAAATAAAAGTACGTCCTAGGATAATGGGGCCGGGTGCAGCTAGCCACCGCTATAGATAATTTAATGCATAACTGTAAGCAACGATAAACCATTGCTTACTGATATTTTGCAGAGCAAAAAATTGCTGGTAGAAAAAAATTGAAAATGTCAAACGTCGATGAATAGCGTACAATTTGCCAGAATATTTTCAAAATTTTATCACGTTTGGAAAAAGGCTTATATATTGAAATATGTTCTGTGGAAACGTCAGGTCTTTACGATTATCTTGCCCCGAATCACAACACAAAAGCCGAATGGAAAATAATTAAATCGTTATTGCCGTAAGTTTTGCCGACTTCCAAGAAAACACCGCACAAACAAGATAAAATTTGCACTCGTGAAATATATTAAAATTGAAAATCAGACCGAAAGTGTCTGGTACAAAATTTGATTACAAACAGAAAAAAATAAAAATAAAAAACACACGTCATATTATTAAAACCAATACAGAATCGATTAAAACGTCGTGTTATATAAAAACGGCGATCGTTATAAATGTTTAACTAGAAACTTAGCAGCGCGTACGGGATAGTACTTGCACAGAGAGCAATATAGCGACGGTGACACGGCAAACGTTTCTGAGCGACTCTTTGAGTCCAAGCGACACGGCATCACTATTGGATAGAGAAATACGTGTTTTGTCCAATGGGCGTGCGCAAAAACAGCTGTGACCGTTCTTTAACGAACAATTTGAATTTTAAGTTTTCTGGCATAAACGTCACTTTTCATTATGTCTTCTCCGTTATATGGTCTAAACGACAATACAAGCCAATGAACAATACGTATTCATATTTAGGACACACAAACAAAAAAATAGTATTCAATGAAAAAATTCCCTATTGCCGACCTGAAAAAAAAAAAAAAAAATTAAAATCACAAATCACATGTTTATTGATTCTTTTGAAAAATATGAATTGTATCACTATTAAACGCGTTTGCCGTGTCACCGTCGATATCTAATTCACTTTCAAATCTTTTTTTACGGTACAAATTTCGCCACGGAATTTATAATATTTTTTCACAAAAACCATTGCCCTCATTTCGTTTACATTCGTTGAATGAAACCATTACCGTAATATTCGATTTTCGTACGGCAACCCGTATCAAAAAGCCCACAAACGGATGTATAGTGTTGACCGAAATAAATTTCGGTGTTAACGTTTTTAATTTCCGTCGACCCGTTGACGATAAAGATATTTCAATTTTAGGTTTGTAATTTCGTCTCGGCACAGAGAGGACAGTGCAACGTCGTCATTTGCGCGGAGGCGCGACGTCTGAATAGTAATCCAAACTCCGAGGGCCCTGTATATTTTACCGGGTCGTATAATTGTCACGCCTACTCTGGGAAAAAAAAAAAAAAAAAACTGTGAACAAATAATTATACGCCGGTTTCGCGGGGACTCGACGGAGTGATAGGGGTGGATGAGGGAGTCGAGTCGCAAAATTATTAGAAACTTGTTAAAATAATTTTTTGTTATTATTTTTATTTTTCGGCTACGCGACTTTTAATACGAAAGAGCAACGGCAATATAATATCGTAAAACGTTATTATACAAAGTCATTCCGAACGGTATAATTCTGTTTATATTTCTGTTGCATTCAACTACACGTCGTGTTACGGTATTTTTTTTTTTTTTTTAATTTTAAATTTGATTTCCATATTACGTATTATTACGGTAAACCGTTTTAATAGTAATGATAATATTTGCTAGACGTTTTTTATTGGAAAAATTAACGACGTTTCAACGTATTATTTATTTTTCGCGATTTCGAAGAAACGGTGTATTCATATGCACGTGACGTGTTCATGATTAATTATTTCAAAACAAATTTCAGTTTAGCGTTTGCTTTTATGCATTTTTGTTCTTTTCGCGTGAATTGGCGACCGAAATGTTATTAAATAGAGACATCTCGCGGCGTAAAAACAAATACCCCTGTGTTCGGAGCGGTGGAATTGGTGATTTTTTTGTGCGCATTATTGTTTTATTCACAGATTACGACGAAGATCTCTGGCCGAAAAGTACTCGGGTATCGATTTCGCTTCGAAAACAACGCTGTGTTTGTCTCTCTTTTTGCATCTACAAATAAAATGTATTTGACTTCCAATCAATAGTCGTATTATTATTTTGGCATATACATGGAAAAAAAAAAAAAAAAAATTAAAATGTATACACAATATGTAAATATCAACGATTCAAATATAATCGAATTTATTATACAAATATAAATAATTTGAAACTAATAAAGTGCATAATATTATGTTATTATTTTTATCGTAATTGCATTTGGATGTTTCGTGACACGAATGACGCATAATATAATATGATATTTTATTTCATAGCCCAATCAAAGTAGATTTTCTGTACGGAAAGATAATCTTGTAGATAATTACCTCCTCTATAATTTTTGTTTGAAACTTTTTATCATACGGCCAACAACAAGCGAGATATTTAAATAAAAAAAGGCTATTTCCGTGACCTTTGACCCCGAATAACCTTTGACGTGCGTTTGATTTCGAAGTCGATTTTTACATATTGTTTATAGCGGTGTACGCCAAAATTCAGCTTGGTGGGATTTTTTCCTTACAGAAGCCTAATTTTTGTCTAATTTAACTGTGCTATTTATTCAAAAACTATCAACTTACATTTTTTACTTTTGATACACGACGTTATTAACGTGAAACTTGAAACTATAATACCTGTACGCATTGTGGGGTCTGATTATTCGACTCTTTTTATACCCGCGGTGGAAAATTCCTGTAACTCTCTATTATTATCATTATCTGTCCTCGCGAATCTGCACCGATGTGGTTGCTGTCTCGATAGTATTGTTTTTAATTGTATAAAGTTCGAATATATTAGAGGTATATTAAAAAGAATAATACTTCTCTTGCTTTTTACTACAATTTTACTGGCCGAGAACTGTCAACCTAAGCATTGTGTAAAAACGGTCACAACTGTGTGTCAGCACAATAAATTTAGTGATGACTACCGGAGAGTCGAATAAAATTGTACATCTATTACGAATAATATGATAAATGAACAATATATTTAATTAAACTGATCCTTTCACGTGATGTAGTGTTCTCTAAGAGGATTTTCGGACCGGAAAAAAGCAAAATCTAAACCGCTACCGTGTACGATACCTATAAGCAAATGAGACCGATAACGATAAAAAAAAAAAAAAAATACCTAATAAATATTAATAAAACAAACGCGTTTCTTTGGCTAAAATAAACCCGACTATATACGTTTTACCATAGGTCATTGCATTTTCTGTCATTTTACTGTCATATAAATACTCATGAATATATAATAATATGCTTGTAATGAGAAACGATAAATCATTGATAACTAGTGGAATTCAAAGTGAAGTTTGAAATCTAAGCCGAACTTTTTCATTTTTAAGGATTAAGAATCATGTACACATTTCTAATCTGATTTCTAGAGTTTCTAGGATTCCATCCCTCTTTTACTATCCATTGATTTTTTGTCCAGTTTGATTTCCATTGGTGGTGACCAAATAACTCCACATTCTGTTGTTATGCTCTTTAATCGAACACGAACGCATCCGAAATACATTGTAAACTCGAGAAATATTTCAAAACTAAATATTGTATTTAACGAGTTGTCGAATATGTTTACAATAAAAATTATCCGTAACACGTACACTGGTATGAGTATGAGTATAGTTTAAATTGTACAATTTTGAATGCAATTGTTACTATCGAGTTTTGTGAATCGTTTCTATAATATTGTAATGGTCATTATTCAAACAAACCGGATACGTGAACGTGATGTATTCTGGGTCTAGCGAATTATTCGATCACGCCCCGCCGAAATGCGTATACGCCACCCCGAAGATGAGAAGTTTTAATTTAACGCGCGGTTCTCGTTAGTCATTTTCCACGAGGAGTGTTGTGTAGGCAATTCATCGTACGCTTGTTAAAATAAGGCATGCCGGTGGTCGTGTTCGATAAAAGTAAACGGACAATAATGTATGTGTGTTTGTGTGTGCGTATGAATGCGTGTGTGCATTTTGATTACGTTTCGCTGATCAAAAGTGTCTGAATTATTAGCCTTAACGAAACAGTGTGCGCAATGGTAGAGCGCTGTATGGGTGTTTGACCGGTGCGATATTATAATTTACTCCGGACAAATCTAAAGGAACCCACCTAGATACGTTAATAAGTGTTAGTTATAGGACGTCGAGCGTTTTTCTGAATATGATTATTTTTTAAAATTTTTTTAAAAACAATAATATATTTTATTGAACAGTCAATAAGAAAATATCGTGAAACCACTTATTGTTACAAGCGAAACGTATGAAATCGTTAAATTGTTCGAAAAGGAAAACACCGTGATTTTACGTATGCTGCAGAGGCGTATAATATTTATTTATTCGGTAGGGTGGATCATTCACGTTGGGTTTGTTTTTTTTTCATTTCATTAAACACAGGTGTATTTATTATTGAATTTATTAAGCCGATAAACAAACAATAATACAACAAATCACTTGCCGGTGTACATACGCGTGTATATCAGCAAGTCCGAGAATGTCCAATAAACTCCCAAAAACGCCACGGGGAAAAAAAAATAAAAAAATACTTAATGCGCTTATGATATGCTCAACATAACGAACAAATTACTTAAGGAACAGAAATTGTCACAAAAAATACGTGGAACGATATTGTAATTAAGTCTGCTTCGCAAAGAAAGTTTCGAAAAATAACGCAAAGTTCGTTGAAATCCCAGTCCTACACAATATCAGTTGTCACCACTACCTATAGTCGAATTTATAATACACAGTTAAACATTAAATTCGATATCTATTATTATAGTGATTTGTACGTATGAAATGATAACAGGAGTGAAAAGCGAATTAGGAGAGGTTCGACTCTGCAAAGTGCACGTATTTTGAACAATAAATTATAATTGGATACATGATTTAAAACACCATATTTTTTATACCTAGTATGCTTGGAAAACTCAATAAATTAAATATTTACATTTTAAACAGGGCATTTTTAAGATTCGTTACGTATTTAATTGTATTTTAGTACCTGTTTTTTTATTCTGAATTTATGTTAAATACTCATTTTTAAATTGATATCGATAATAATTATAACATAATAGGTTATATATTTGTAGCAGGGCTAGAGGTAAAGGGGTAAATGACGGGGTGTAAAACACCACCAAACTCGGAAATTTAAATTAGTGAATGGACTATAATTTAACCACACTTTTATTGTGAATTTGGACCATACTAATAATTTCTTAGTTTATTTTCGGTATTTTACAAACGTGCTTACCGTCGCAACGCTATTATCGTCAAATCTTTTATTTATCTAAGAGGGAAATAATATACAAAACGTTTTTCGAACGTGGCGAATTCGGTGATGGGACGTTTGATCACGCCGTTCCGTCGACACTTGTTAACGTCCGGTGTGACTGTTACGAATTTCCTGTTTATATTAATCACGCCGACCAAATCAACAACCCTTAATGACTATAGTGTGCCTACCGGTAACGTGACGGACGGACGGACGGACGGTCGCGACGACGAAGCAAAAGGCGTTCAAAACTTGTGTTTTTAGAAAGCTAAGACCGAATTTCCCGCGGCAACGCGGAACATCATACCCGCGAAGTGTATTTTAAAAATTAAAAGCGTACCCATTACAGGGTCCCGTGTATAATCAATTTGGGATACAGCGCCGCCACGTGCGAATACTGTGAGAGCCACTGCAGTTTTGAACGGACCGCAGGGACGGACATTACGCGTGTGTACCATGGTATACAGTTACTGTAATAATAGTGGGTATAAATTGTTCAAAAGTACCTGCGCTAACGAAAAAAGAAAACACATAATTGTAAAACCAACTTCAATTCTTTTCGGGGTCGGCGGCGGCTACCGTTCGGAATCGAAAATGTTATTCGATTATAACATTCATATAATAATAATAATAACAATAATAATAATAATGTACTTAGGTATACCTATGCAATACGTTCCCTACGTACTCGTTAAGTTTATCTATTCGATTATTAACTTTATGAAATGTTTTTTTTCTTTCCCCTCTATAAATAATATTATTATGTACGCGCGGTACTGCGGTCTTTGAACTGACGTAGAAATATCGGGTTTTATTATATATAGTTTTTTTTCTTTTTTTTTTTTTGCATAAGTACAACTTACCCTATTCTATAGGGGAAAAATCAATCGAAAAATATTAATAAGAATATTATATTATATTATATTAATAAACCCGCAGTGCATATTACAGAATATAGGTACTGTTATACAAACGTAAATATAAGCTTAAAAGCATTTGGTTCTAAAACATCTGCAGTACCTACCCACATTTCTACGGGACTTACGAAATTGTTAGATTATAATATTATATTTTATAACCGTGTATTTCGGAGTGAGTTTAAAAAAAAAAAAAAAAGTTAACTTTTTAATATAATATCTTCGGTCTCACGGACCGTATAGTTTTCAATACAAGCGGAAATTCAATTTTATACAATTACTAAATGCCATAATGATTTCTTAATGACCTAAATTATCTTTTGACAATATATGAACAATAGTCGTTGAGTTTTTAACTAAGTATACAAGAGTTCATGTGGTTAATGTTAATGTTTACACATTTAGGTATAATATTTCATGAGTTACTTATTTTATTTTTTTTTGATTTTTTGTGTTATTTTTATTCAGCAAGTTATCTATACTTTGTTATCAATGAATTGTATATGCAAATATACTCTTCTGTTAGGGAAATTGTTAACAGATTAAAAAAAAAAAATAAACATCTTTGTAAATCCATAAACTTCTTCGCGCCACTCAGAATCTAAATGTTTTTATAAATTAAATGTTTATTTTTTTTACGATTTCTGGCTAGATAATTATTAAATTCCTATGTCTAACATACCATAGCAAACCACCTAAAGAATCGCAACTAATCCGTTTTTAAAATTTAAATCCGCCAAATCAAACAGTTTCGTCCCGTTTTTCAGGTTTAAAAAAAAATTAAAATATGCACCGTCACCAATCCCGTTGATTTCAAAGTATGTGCAGCGGTGTCTGAACTGAGTCACCGTATCGCCATATGAATAATTATTTGGTCAAAATTTTAATTTTAATCCCAAATAATATCGAAAATGGTAACGCTAATTTCGATTACGTTTGAACAATATTATGAACGGCTATAAATCTTTTTTTTTCTCGATAACCATTTTTCGGATAATAAAATTAATCTAAATTGTTCCAACTATACTTTTAAAAGATTCTGTTTTTTTTTTTTACCTCTTCGATTAAAAAACAAATTTCTAGATTCTCAGAAGTTTTTTTCTGAACAATTAAAAAACAATCTGATAACAATAATATCGTCGATACAATGGTTTTATTTTTGTTGATTTCTGGGTTACCATAGCTATACAATGGTAAAAACTTAAATAATACTATACTATAATATTACTCCCTTAAGAACCGTTTTTTTATTGCCTTGGTTTACATTTTTCCAAATTTGGCAAAATTAACGATAAAAAAAAAAAAAAAAAACAATCACCATTGAGTTTTTGGCAAATTTTTATTCGATACCTTAGAAAAATGCATTTATTCAAGTGCACGTAGACCTACTTATATCTCGACATAAACTCGGTACGTAATTGCGTACAGCAATTTCGTAGTAGTTCACGTATCGATTGAAAGGCGCGAGAAATGAAATGAGTGAGATTATTGAATTCATAAGTTCAAACAATACAAACGAATCAACATTTGCAGAGACGAGAGCACAATGGATATCTGTATTTTATTTATTTCCGATTGAAATGAAAAACAAATAAATATATTATACGTGTGTGTGTGTGTGTGTGTATGCATGTCGTATTATTTAAACTATTAGCAATGCATTTAAATAGGTAACCGAGTAGGTATTTATATTGGCCTAATAAATATTTACCGAGGTAGTTAGACGAACATAATATTATATTTATCTGAAGGTTTTTATAACGTCACAATGAACGTCTTTAAATATTTATTATGAAAGTAAATATTTGACAAGACTGTAATATTTATATACTATACTGGCATACCTAAAATAATAGTTATTAATTTTTCATCGAGCCATTATAATAACTGTACCATAGGTAATCGTTTGTGTACATTATCAATTTGAATCCATCAGTTTTGTTGCAGACTATCGTGTTTATGATTTTTATTAATTTTAAATTCTGAGTGTATAGCGAACCAGCTATTATAGTCTTACTACTCTTGATATGATGTGTTTTATTTTTTAGATCGGAAAACACTTTTTAGATAAATAATGTAAATATGCTTCAAACTGTTTACCCCGCATTTCATAAGATGCGAATTTCTCGACCGGTGATATACTTTATCTGAAAACATTTCCTGGATAACTGACAGTTGTTCTTAAAAATTATATGAACGAATTACAATATTTATATTTTTGTTGATTTTGTAGTTACTTTGTCTACAAGAAGAAAAAGCACGTATTATCCTACGACTTTGCTCGCAGTTTACCAAGCTCCACTCAGAATCGTATTTTGATTGCAATCATTTTTATTTTATCATTAAACCGAAATTACACTATGCCGTATACATTTCAAACTTTTCACTGTTAACAGTGGCCTACCCGTGGCGCGACGCATGATAAGTTTTTTTCAGTTTGTAAATAATATCTTGTAAATACATTAAATAATTTTATCCCATTACAGCAATAAACTTGGATATTAACGGATAACAGACAAAATGCAATTAAATACAAAACAACTAATAACAATTAACAATTCAACAAGAACATGAAGTTCACTTCGGCACGTATTATTCAACTATAAATTGCCCTTAATAAGTTCAAGTAAATGAAAATAAAACTGATATAGGTATGTCTATACATGTACTAGCAGTGGCGGATCAGTCCTCTCCCATCTACATTCGTTCTTCAATATACTTTTAGTTTGATGTCAATCATAAAATATGCGTGCCTTATAATCATTTTTTTAAAATCAAACTTCCCCCTCCTCTCGTTGTCAAGTTCTGGATCCGCTCCTGTGTACAGTTGTAAACGATTCGAAATTATTTTTAATTAAAAAGGTGTGACAAATTCTGAAACAACCGCAAAAAATAAATCTACTATAATAAAATGTATTTAAGTTATTTAAACAAAATAGAACATTTTTTTATGATACTTGAAAGATTTATCACTACACATATTTGCTTAAATACATTTTAGCATATATTAGCTTTTTTTTAAGCTGCACTGTACACTATAGTAATAATATTATAATGCGCTGTACCTAACTATACTGAAATAGGGGCTGGAGAATTCCCTAAAATACCAGTTAAAACGCACAATAATATGTCTTCTATAAAATAATTTAAAAATTTCCAGCGTCAAAATTGCAATAATTTTATTTCAAAACAGTTTAAGTATCCCCTAAAGGGGAAAATGTTGTTAATGAATATGAAATTTGTTTTCGGCTGTTAATTTTTACCGGAAAAATCCCATGTTCGTTAAATAACAATACAAATATTATAATACATAATAAAATAATTCAATGAAAAATTAGTATGTGAGTATCACAAGACGATAAGATTTTCAAAATAGAGTTATTCGTTTGAATTCATTTTAAGTTTAAAACTGACAATACTATACGGTAAAATATGCTCAAGGTTTTTGACCGTTTAAAAACGAATACAAATGACAATAACAATAAAAATAGAAAATAAATTGAAGTCTTGAACGACGCCTATGAAACAACTGCAGATGTTAACAGTACAGGTATTATGATAATACGAGCCCCTGTGGATTGCTGTAAATTTTACATAAATGGTATACACCTACTCTGAAAAATCGTATATATATAATATTATAGTAAAATATATACTTTACTGTAATTTTCTACAGATAAATCCCAAAAGACTAGTAAAAAATAACACTACGGAGTTCGTGCGGTAAAGCAATTTCGAAGGAAATTTAATTTTTTTATTATTATTATTATTATATTTTAATTTAGAAAATTAAAATCATCTATACGCTTTTTCGCGTTTCACCGTTCATTTCCATCATAACACTTTATGTTTTTACCTACTTCCTTTGGTCTGTAAGTTTGTTTATGATTTTAAATTTACCTGTTCCCGTCAACAAGCTGATGCGTTTTATGTATATGTTAATTTTCTTTCACTAAAATATAATATAAGGTAAATAAGATTATTATTATTAATTTTAAAACGAAATAAAAGTATACAATCGAGTGATGCTTAATGTGCAAGCTTTTGTTTTATATAAAATATTGGTGTAAAAAAAAATGTACACACCTAAGTGTTAAAAAATATTTATACAGCTACTTATATGATACTTTTCCACTCGTTTAAATAATTGTTTTAACCCGACACGTTGAAATTCTGGAAAATAAAAAAACTGTAAAAATGCATTTTACGTTAAATTCTTTTTTTATATATATATATAAATAACACATAACCTCAAATAAAACAAACTATACATACATACGCAAAGATGGAAAAACACATAAAAAAAAAGGTTTGAAATTTTAATTTTCAAAAAAGAAAATCCCATTGCGTTTTGTTGTTTTTAATTTACTATGTAGGTATTAAAAACAAAAAAAAAATAAAAATAAAATGTCTTATAATTCCTTAACCTTTAGCTTTTAAAGTATTATTTAAAAATAATAACTTTAACATGTAAGTCTGGTGCACAAAGGTACCCGACTAGGTATTTTATTTATTTCATAAATTACGGTATGATATCGTCGCAAATATTTAACGATTCCGTATACATAATCATATTTTTTACGAGTCATAATGTGCAATAAAAACCTTATAGCCTTGGTTTTTTTTTTTAGTATTGAAAACTTATATACGCGTAGAAAGTATAATACTATA